GTATGGATCAGACAAACTATTATATTCTCCCTAAAATACCCTTTCTTCTTAGTTTATTGTTTATTTTTATTCCTGTCTAACTCTCTCCATGCAACATCTCTCTTCCCTGAGTATTTTTATTACATTCAAAAAAAAAACATATGTTGGACAGTTTCTAATTTCCCACAAATACAACCTGTGATAGGTTGGCTGCCCAGGAACCTTTTCACCACTGTGCCTTCCTTGGTCGACTTTTGATAAATACAGACTTTTAAACACAGACATTTTAGTTTAGGGGCAAACTCTCCATTTACTGCTTGACATGTCCCACCCCACCAGGTGCAACCAAGGAGGTAATCACTGTTCATTGAATGGCTAATTAAAGTGGTATCCCAGCAAGTTTATAAGTTAATTTAGTGAAAGTTTAAAAATATCAACTCAAACAGAAAAAAAAAAACAGAAATATATATATATATATATATATATATATATATATATATATATATCCAAATTTAAAAAAAAAGAGTCGTGCAAAGTGTTACAATTAGTCTTATTATCAATGACAGCTGAACTTCTCATATTTAAAATAAAAATAACAAGCCCTAAATGCATGTTTAAGATGAACTGCAGCTCTATATGATGAATATTCCTGACAGGTTTTCTCTCTAACAGCTAAAAGTCTTGAATCTTTACCTCTTGCTTTGTTTGCAGCTCATCCACACAGAGCAGTTATCAGCTGAGTTCTCCCCGCAGCAGTCCTCTCTCTCTGCGGGAAGTCCTCTCTCTGTCTCCGCTTCGCTCCTGAATCCTCCCAGTGTTTCCAGCTCTTCCACTTCTCAAAGTGACTGAAGCTAAACTGGAAGCAAAGTGGGGCGAAATATCCAGGAAAAGATATTTTTCTCAGCTGCATGCCTGTTCAGCCTCCATAGACCGAGCATCGGGCTTTATGCTTTCGCGAATGAATTTGATCTGAAAGTCAGCCCTCCCTCCTCTTCCTCCTCCTCCTCTTCCTCAGCCTTCGCAGGGCAGGACTGAGGACCAATTGAGAGCCAGAAAGAAAAGTGATCACAGCTTCTCACATCGGTGATACCTATAATACAATTGGCTTTATTTTATTTTTGTATATATTTCAATTAAAAAATCATAACTAAACATAACATAACATAAAAATGATAGATAGATAGATAGATAGATAGATAGATAGATAGATAGATAGATAGATAGATAGATAGATAGATAGATAGATAGATAGATAGATTTAGTATGTCAATCAATCAAAAGTTGGGTCTCTAAATTGTAGCAAAACCTGTTTTTAAAAAATGCCTTTTTTCTTCTTTTTATATGTTTTTTTTTTAATATATATTATTAACTATAACTGGATATGGGGGCTGCTCGGTAGAGCAGTGGGTAGCACTGCTGCCTTGCAGCGAGAAGGGGTCCAGGTTTGATTCCCGGCCGGGGGTCTTTCTGCTTGGAGTTTGCATGTTCTCTCTGAGCATGCGTGGGTTTCTCCAGGTACTCCGACTTCCTCCCACAGTCCAAAAACAGGAATGTTAGGTTAATTGGCTTCTCTAAATTCTCCTTAGGTGTGAGTATGTGAGTGAATGGTTGTTTGTCCTTGTGTTACCCTGCAATGGACTGGTGACTGGTGTACCCCACCCTCGCCAGTAGACAGCTGGAGACAGGCACCAACACCCCTCGTGACCCTGCTTGGGATAAGCGTGACAGAAAATGGATGGATGGATAACTTGATATGATACATTATATCAAAATAAAATAAAAACACTATATGTGAGTGTGAGTATTTTTTCAAACATGTAGAATGTTTACAAGGGGTCCATATACACATACAATGGACTGCTTACATTTGTGTGTGGTTTACTAGTGGTTCCTAGAATGGGAGTAGAATGTAGAATGGGAGGCAGATCTTCTAGTTATCAGGCTCCTCTCCTGTGCAACCAACTACCAGCTTTAGTCCATGAGGCAGACACCCTGTATACGTTTAAGGACAGGCTTAAAACTTTCCTTTTTGACAAAGCTCATAGTTAGAGTGGCTCAGGTTATCTCTATAGTTATGCTGCTATAGGCTTAGACTGCTGGAGGACATAGGGACCTCTTTTTCATCATTCTGCTTCATTCTATCTCTATTCTATCTGTTCAATCTCTAACATTATGCTCTCTCTCCTTTTGTCATTGTAGCTTCGCCTCGAGTGTTCCTGTTTGGCTGTGGCATCATCCTGGAGAGAAATATCAGCTGTGCTGCTGCCATCAACACCTTTGTTTACAGACGTTTGGAGATCTGCCTGTTTTTTAGTGTAGTCCTGTTTCTCTGACTGTGACTGGCTTCTTCATCCTGTGACATGGGAGCTGGCTCAGAGCTCGTCTGCCTGGCTGTGTGTTTCCTGGACGGGGCCGCCTATTACAGCTGCTTTTTGTATCTCTGCTTCTGTCTCCTTGAACCCCAGTCGGCCTCAGCAGATGGCTGCTCACACTGAGCCTGGTTCTGCTGGAGGTTTCTTCCTGTTAAAAGGGAGTTTTTCCTCTCCACTGTCGCTACAAGCATGCTTAGTGTGAGGGATTGCATTCGAGTCAATGAGTCGATAGAATCAACTAGTTTTCCTTAGATAGAAAACTTTGAATCAGTTTGACTGGATGATCTGGTAAAGGGCCTTGTGATGACATGTGTTGTGAATTGGCGCTATATAAATAAACTGAATTGACAGACATTAATCCCAGACCTACCACTTGAGAGACATTTAATTGATTGATTTATTTTGTTCTTGTTGAAAGGGTTTTTATTGAAAAAAGTTTGTTGATAGACAAACAACTCTAACTATAACCAAGTAGGGATAAAAGTATGAAAATATTCTACAGATTGATTCTTCTTTACATACTTTGTATTATCATCTGTTAGTCAGCAGGATCAGTCCCCGGGTTTAAGTTTGCAAACCCCTGTTAGCAATAAAGATTTAAAATTTGCTTGGTTTTAGTAATTCAAAAAATAAAATAGCATATATGACCATTTTCTTTTAATAAATGATAGCAAATAAATGTAATGTTAGAACCCAGGTTCCCGGGAGTCCACTAGTTAGTGAGTTTGCTTCTAGCTATTCAGCAATCATTGATTATCAACCTCCAAAAGATTATTAGCTACAAATGGTGGTTGCTTAATAAGCAGACAGACAAATAGGCCTACTGCATAAATGAAAACTAATGAAGGGTAGAGGTTGCAACCAAAATAGATACAACCTCATGAGGATTGTGAAGAAAAAAATTATACAAGAGTTCACTGAAATGTTTATTTTTCTTAATTTAAATGATCACAGCTTACAGCAAATGAGCCAAAAGGATTTTAAATAAAGAAATGTGACTTTTATTATCTTGTAATCACTGGGGAGGCTGCTGCCTTTTACTGCTGTCCAAAATAACTTTACATAACAGCTTTAAGCATGAAATTCATGGAAAGCTGAGTAGAAGGAAGATATGTGTCAGTGAAAAAGGTGAACAAGTAACAGGGAAATGTAGAACAATAACAGGATTGCAGAGCAAAGCTTATTTAAGAGTATATGAAGGATGAAGGTGTGGACTGCAGCTGGTGTCAAGAGCCACCGTACACAGGGGACTGTATGCAGGAACCATGTCTTATCAGGTACAAGACAGGATTGGAAAAAAATAGCGACTTTCAAAGAGCAAAGAGAGCGAAGGGATTAGACTTCTTTCAAATATAACAAATGTACCTCATTGGAAGCGAAGACTATGCAAATTTAAACGAAAGTTAAATTACTTACTATGCAATATGATTGATATGGAAAATTTGACTTTTAACATCGATCTTATAAGGTATACCGACAAACAACTGTTAATATTTCTATGGCAAATTTCATCTGTAAAAAAGAAAAGAAAATCCACCTAAAAAAAATGCTTAGCAATAATTTTTTTATGTTTCTTGTCTGTTGGACGTGTTTAACTGGATGATTCCCAACTTTACACTCATCGCATCACTTCATCATCTTTGATTATCACATATAAGCTGAAGAATAAATGGATCCCATTCTGGTGTTAAACTAAAATATTAGTTAATAATACAAATACTCAAAAAATACTATTTCCAGTCAGTTGAACAAGTACTGTATTTCTACTTAATAAACTGCCTTTCAGAGGAAACCTTTTATTCATTTGAGAGAGAATAACTCAGAGATGAGATTACAGCCTGCAGTAAATAATCAGCTCTTCAGTTCTGACTTAAAACAGCCAACAGGATGAGAAATTATGTTAAAAAGGAGGTTTTTATGTGTTTTATTTTATCCTCTGCGAATCTCCGTTGGCACATGCTGAAAGTCTACCATAATAAATCAGTGGCTGCACACTGTGTCTGCATACAGTTTGTGTGCACGCTTGTGGGTGTTTGTTCGGCTGTTTCCAGGTCACAGTGTTCGTGATTACACTATTGCTGCACTGATTTTAAAGAGCCTTGCGTAGAGGAATGCAAACCATATGTTTTTTATATATATATATATATATATATTTTTTATGTTTTTTTTTTTTTTGCATAATACAGCCATAAAACAAAATAGCAAACCCTATTAAATATTCAGTTCTTCATTATTATTAATAATATTTAAATATTATTCTTGTATTTATCGTTAGGGAGAACTGTAATTTATTTACAGGAATCCAGATTATATTGTGATATGTCTTGTTCACTTATTAAACAAGACATAGAAAGTGTATTTTCTAGTTGGGGTACCTAACAACTGCTGTTTTACCTTTCGGGCAAATTAATACCCTCTATTTGTCTGTGGCCTTGATCTAAGGGTGGTCCGCTCCTCTCGTCACTTTTAGCTGTGAGGCCATCTGGAGTTTGATTAAACCATTCAAGTAGTTTTCCTTTCCTAAATCTCAGCCATCCTTGCTGGATTACCAGGATGTTTTTGGTCACTTTCTTATTTCCGTTCTCTTCTGCTTCAGGTTTAATATCTTTTATAGAGGGCCTAAAATTTTCCCCAACCACCATTTGATCTAAGGTGAATAGGAATAAATGCATAAGTAGGAATTTTATTCAGACAATTGGACAAACAACAATAAATGAATCAGCCAAATACACACACAAAAAAAAACTAGTTAACATCAACCAAACCAAACGCCAATTTCAAAACTAACTAAATTCTGTCACGATTTGGCTATGGTTAGTTGACCCAAAAGCAGAGGCAGGGAGGCAGAGGTGAATCTCTTGTAGATTTAATAATGAGTTAACAGAAAACAGAAGCAGGTTATCCAAAAATCCAAATATGAAAACAGAGTCCAAATAAACAGTAAAAACCAGGAGTCCAAAAAACAAAACATCAAAACAAGTCAAGACGTACCAGAAACCATGGAGACATCAGGGGAAACACAATCATAAAGAGGAAGGCTCAGAGAGAAGGAGTTGGAGCATGTTTGACGGTGTTTGACGAGGACCCAACAAAGGGGAACTGAAGAGAGAGGGCTTTTAAAGGAGACTGAGACAAAGAGGGGGCTAATGAGGAAACAGGGAGCAGGTGTGCACAGAACAAGAGAGGGAAAGAGCTATGGAAGAAGAAGAACATAAGAGGGCAGCAGAGAGCAACAAATAGAAACCTGGAAGACTGGAAATAACAACAAAATTATAATTAATTTACTAGGACTATAAAACATGGAGAAAAGAAAACTAAACACTCAAAAGAAAACATAACAGAACCAAGACTAGGACAGTAACTGGAAAAAAACAAAGAATACAGCAAAATAAAAAATAAAACACTAACACTAGAAAACAAGGAGTAAAGCAAGACTGAACACTAAAAAGAAAATATAACAGAACCAAGACTAAGACAGAAACTGAGAAAAGAATCAAAGAACTCCATAAACTAAAAATTAACCCACTAAAACTAGAAAACAAGGAGCAAAACAAAACTG